ACAACTAACGAAATTAATACTAACATTAATTCAATAAATGCAAAGCAATCAATGAGTAACCATTGAAGAAATTATACAGAGTGTCCCAAAGAGATCTGACATTCTGACAAAAGAAATAACTTGTTCTAATCAATATTTTTTAAAAATTTCTTTTAAATATAATCCATAGACACTTGCACTACATTTTTTTTTTTATTTTTTAATACTGAAAATAAAAAACTAAAAAATTGATAAAATTTTTTTTCGAAATATTCAATATAGCCAATTTGTAAATTTGATTTTCAAAAAAATTTGTATGGTAAAAACTTATTTAAGTAAAAAAGCTGATTTTTTAAATAGGTATCAATATTTTCCTTAGGTAAATTATAGTAATTTTTAGTTTATACATCACATATTATTAAAATAAATACAATAGAAAAAAATAATTAGATTTTAACACACTTATTTAAAAATGTTCTTATAAAATATTTTTAAAAACATTATTATTATTTGAAATTACAAGGTTTCTAACATAAACTAGATCGTAATTTACTTAACGAAAATATTGATATTTAAAAAAATTGTAAAAAATCAGCCATTTGACTTAAATAAGTGTTTTTACCATATAAATTTTTCTAAAAATCAGATTTACAAATTGGCTGTGTTGAATATTTCGAAAAAATTTTTATCAATTTTTAAGTTTTTTAGTTTTTTGTTTTCAGTATTAAAAAATAAAAAATGTAGTGCAAGTATACGAATTATATTTAAAAGACATTTTTAAAAAATATCGATTAGAACAAAAGTTATTTCATTTGTCAGAATGTCAGATCTCTGTGAGACACCCTGTATAATATGTTAACGAATCAGTGCTTGGAAATGAAAAATATTTAAGTTTTATTTCGTCAATAAAATTTTTTTTAACTAATTGCAGCATTTATCTAAATTTATTTTGATTTTAAGTTTAAATCTACCCAAACACTAATACTATGATTTTCCGTGCTGTTTAATTATTTTCATTAAAAAGAAAAAAGTTATTRACACAGTTTTTTTATTGATATTTTAAGTTTAGGTTCAATAACATTAGATGTTTAAACGGAGAATAACAATTTTAGTTATTTTATTGTAATTTAAAAATATTTTTCATACTTCATACTTGAACTTTTAAAGAACTTATATTTTATATACATATATATGACATTAAAAAAATTAATAACATTAAGTATTATAGAAAACTTAATTATTAATTAATCTTAAAATTTACTTTGCTCAGGAATCTTTTTGTTTGCAATATAATATTGAATTAAAATTTAACATATTAATTACAGTCACCTATTAGACCACGTTCCACACAACACCTAATTTACTTCAAAATAGTATCCACCATCATTTTATTCATAGATGAACCAATTAAATATTAAATTCAAACAGTTAGAATTGAAGCTCCTACATGCTATATGTTTAATTTTTATTATAATTTACTTGTGAAAAGTTGAAGAAACATGACTTACAAAATTTCTTCAGAAAACTTAACAACAGGACCTGTTTATTATTATTTTGATTTTTATACATATTAATAAGTCATAATAAATAATCAATAAACATCCGTCCTTTCCTCCCCCAGGTATCTACTTACTCACCAAATTGTTTATATATTTCTCAAGCAACACAAACTATATAACAGCTGGTGGTGTTAAATCTAACCCAGTCAATGTGATTTCAAGTGTACAGTTACCACAAGGTTCATATTTAGCTCCTTTATTATACATAATATAATCAATTAATTAAATTTTATTAAAAAAATGTTTGCATTATCTGATTATTTCAACTAATAAATTTTCCCAACAATGCGCTTTTAATACAAAGTGGTCTTAGTATTTTGTAAGATATAAGTGTAAAATAAATTATAAAGTTATATCTTATACCATTATGACATTATCAGCTTCTGTGGGACTCAGGTTCCTCTGAGTGGCGGACTGGAACACTGCTACTGTGTATAAAATGATGCCTAGTCTGGTACAAAATAATTCACTAATTCACATGTTATATTATTAGTGTTAGAACCTCTTCCGTTTGTAAAATSTTATCCACTCCACTCAACTTAATTTTAAGTATTTGTAAATTATAAGTTATTAGTAGGGCAGACGACTTGTTGCTCTAAATATGCAAACCATGTAAAAACCCAATCATATTCACTTAAAATTTTTTAACACGAATGTACATTCCGCAGAACTGATTAAGACTAAATACTAAAATATTGTTGATTAATGATTATCATATCTAAAAACGTTTTTTAAATAAATCCTAATCGAATAAAAGCCCGCGTGTTACGCACAAAGCTGTGGTGTTGATGTCGCCTAGGAATAGTGTAAAACGTTAGATCATTATCGCTTGTACAAAAAATGCGTGCCCGTGCACACCATTAAACCATATTATACGATAAAAATTAAAAATAATAAATTTTTGTCCAACCATTTTGACTGTAGTGTTTGAAATTGAAATGTCACTGTAGAAAAATCGATTTAAGWTAAATATTATKTCTCAAAAAGTATAAAAAGTGTAAATTATGTATTTTAATGCAAAATGCATTAATATGTCCTTGGCAATGGTTTTCAAGTAGGTACAAAGTCCTTTTACATTAAAGAGTTAATAACTATTATTTTGCATTTTTATTATAAATTCATACTAATTATAATTTTGAAKTAATTYGTTTAATGTTATGATTAAACTGAATTGGTAAATCAAGAAATGTTGATCTGTGGTTCTGTCCATTCATAATTTTTTGTTAATTGTATTATTTATAATTTGAAAACATYTATAACGTATTTATTTAACGACTGATATCTATTTGCGTCCAAGACTTAAACCAGTTAAAACTAATTAGTCAGTTATTGACTTGTTATATATACTCCGGCCCATGATAGTCAGATCGTAATCCGGTCATCACCCACCAAGGGTACCATTCCCACTACTCCACAACGTATTTATAGCGGTGAAGTTCGGTATATGAAAACAGGATCTATGCGCTGCAACAGACAGGTTTTTGTGGTCAGACTAAACTTATTGTGTTTATCTCGTGAGGATAGTATTTTTATTATCACAAGAATTGCTAAAATAATYTTTTTAGCCCACTCTTGGATATTTAAATTTAGTTCTTATTTATAACCCTTAACATATTAAACCACTCATTCAAAATTGTATTTTAATATATGGAAATACTTTTTTTTTTTAAATGGTATACCAGATTGTAATAGTTTATGATCACTTTGTATAATTAAAGTGGTTAAAATCGTTCCCAGTTGAATACCTTTAGATTTAACCTTTGTTAGTGAATGCAATGTAATTATCTTTAACGGTTATTCAATATGCTACAGTTTATCATCAATAAAATTACCAAATAGATTTTGTAGACAAAAAAAACATTCACCCAAATAATCATTCAACTTTTAGGGCAGAGCCACACAGCAGTTGAACCACCTAACAATTGTGAACCTGATACACGTTTCAGTCATAACTGAAAAACTGACCGCTATGTATGGTTCACAGCTTAAATTGAAAAGAAAATAATTCTTTAAAAATAAATGGTTATAACAAAAAGTAATAGTAGACAACCACAACAGTTATCAGTTTATCACTATACTCTTGTTTCAGAAAAATTATAAGTTAACAACAGCTTTGAATTAAAACTAAGGCATTGAATTTATATGCAATGAAAACAAGCTTTAATTTTCCTAAATAAATAAGAGAGAAATCAGAATAACAATTGTTCATTAAGAAATCTATTATCAATTTAGTTATTTTGTTGAGACATAATAGATTTGTGGAATTGAAAACATCAGCATAATATTAAGAACTATCAATAATTTATACCATGTTAGTTTATTTAATATTAATTTAAAGACATGCATCTTTTTTATTTATTCTAAATATGCTAATAGATTGCTTATGATTWGTACTACATATAAATACAAGGCCTCATATAGTTGTTTAATTTATTGAGAATTATGTACTGACCTTAAAAATCATATTAATGGTCTGTCCATTGCTGATTTTAAATTAAGAGGGTTAATGTGGGGGGAATTATAAAACAACACAAAACATATAACCGAATCGTTAGTTTTTATAAAAGAAAACACTTGATAACAAAAAATTCTTCCCTTACAATAACCTTAACTTATCTGTAATTATTCAATAATGATTTAATTTAATTATAAATTATATAATTTGATATTTCGTTTATAGGATTAAAGATATGAACTTTTATTAAGAGGTACAACTAGTTAATATTTACATTTTTATCCTTTTTATAAATTCTCACTCTTAAAATGAAACATTAAGTTTCCTATATTCTAATTATTTTATAATACTTTTAATATAATTTATGTTTGTATTTTAGCCTGTGAAAAGATAACATTAATTAAAATAAATCCATAATTTCATCTAAAATATATAACATATGTATTCAATGAAAAAAGAAATACCAGTTTCAAAAAAATCTTATTTCTATTGTAATACAGTCGACGAAGATAAAAAAAAATATATATATATAATTTAACATCATTTATTTGGTTTAAATCTAATTATTTTAACTCAAATGCAAACAATAGAAACATTTTGTTTGTCAAAAAAAAAAAAAAAATTGTCCAACTATTTCCATGACAATTACATTATTTTTAAAATATGATACACAAATAAATTGAAGTACTTAAAATTATAACAAATGGTATTTTAATAAAAAATGTAATATAATTTCAATCATATAAAATGAATTAAAATTTAAGTTTTTATGTTTGGTATTTGTACTAAAGAAAGTTTAACTGTTAATTAACTATTACTATAATCCAAAGAAATTTGTTTCACAATATAAAAAAAAAATTAAAAAAAATACCAATTTGTGTAGAAAAATGAGTGCATTACTTAAAAAAAAAATATATATATATATAATATACCTGAAAGCAGGTTTTCAATGAAAGATTTTAAATCGAATAAAAAATATTAAGTCATGAATGGAAAAATAGTAATTAAATTAACGCATTAACAGTCAGGAAAATACAAAAGCAATTTTAAAAACAAATGAGAAAGTAACCTATGCAGGTGCATGTGTTGATTCATTAAGTTCAGGTGTTGTATCATTTCGGTAAATACCACTAGGTGGAGCGTAGATGGCAAATCCATACTTAATCAGTTCATCATTGATAGAAATAGTCTGAATAGGAAAAACCAAATTATTAGTATAATCACAGAGGAATATTCAAAATACAAAAAAAAAGGCATTTACCACTAAGCCATCAAAAGCTAATAAATTAACATATTGTACACTATCAGACTTGTAAACGACCTGAGCAAATAACATTTTGCCAGTAGTCAGTGTTTCAAACATTTTTAGGGATTCCTCACACCACTCGCCATAAACTATACAACAAATAAACAAATAATTATATAAGAAAATATTAACTAAAAAATATTTGTAAATTTACTTGGAGCAATATTTGCTAAACTACATTCAATTGCTTGGAAGCTTAATGCTATTAATGAGTCATGCATTGGCCTCATATCACATTGATCAATTTTTTTACAACCGCCATAATCCAAAAAGAATACATTAGCAGATTCATATTTCTTTTCATCTACATCAATCACTTGTGCGCGGTACCAATTATCTCCACTGTAGGTGGCCACTACAGAACCTATAATATAATGAACAGACATTAAAGATGTTACAACTTTGATAATAGGCTAACAAATACCATGAGTAACAGTGCGTAAATCGACTTCAGGGATTTCATCTTTGTTTTTTCCATATGTATCATTCATGGCAAAGTTCAAAGAAGAAAGCATTGCATAATCTGGACTTGATGCATTATGTACAAAGAAGTGATCTGTAGCTACTAGGTCAGTTACAATAACATGGTTATTAACGCCTTCAATTAATTCCGACTAAACAAAAAAAAGTTTTAATTAAGAAAACAAACAAATTTGTTTAAAAATAAATTTACCTTAAAGAGTTGAGAAATAACAGGTGAACCATCCAATAATGAAGAAATGCATTCTAAAGTAAATTCTGGATAAGCTCTTTCAGGAAACTTGGTTCTAATTAACTTTAGAGCTTTGTTAATATTTATTTCAGATCCTATGAACAATGAAGAAATATTTAAAAAAACTAAATATAGATTAGGTACATTTTAATTTAATACTCACCAACTAATGTGCACATTTTATATTTATCTTCTGGACTTTCAGTCTTGTTTTCGACAAAAAGCCGAACATTGCTTTTCTCTTTAATATATTTAACAAATGCTCCTTTTTTACCAATAATTGGTCCCACTAGTTCAATTGGAACTAAAAAGTCATAACTCGTTTGCTCATCAGAATCAGATACTGTGCGCAGTTCTCCAGAAAAAGAACTACCGCCTTTGCCACTGTCTTGAGAACCCTATTTTTAAAATACATAACTGTGAAGAATGAAAATAAATAAAATAAAAATTTATAGATTAAAAAATAAAACTTACAACACTTCTAATATCTGAATAAATTGTATTTGGTGCATCATTAGTATCAATACTATGATCTACACTATGCGCTGAATCACAATCTTCTTCAACAATTTGGGTTTTCTTCACAGATTTCACAACATTATTAGTTTTATTTTTACTGTTTGATTCAGAGGGAAGCTTAATAATATCTTTTGTTTGATTTTTTTTTCTTCCTTTTTTCTTTTTCCCTTTAAATTTAATTCCTTCAAATATCATAGGTTCTTCTTCTTTTTTAACTTTTTTAACATGAACAACTTTTGGACATTCACAATGATCTTCTTTTTCTACCATTACTGTCCAACAAGCCTTATCTTTAGAGGACTCTTCTATATCTTCTTTTTTAATATTTTCTATAACTTGATGAATATTTATTGAATCATCAGTATTTACAACTACTTCATTTCCATTTTCTACTGCTGTACTTAATTTCAAATTATTCAAATCTTCAGTTAAAGAATCTATTGTAATGATATCAGATTTTAAACATGCTTGTTGGTCACTAGCCATTGCAATAACTTTTGTAACCAATTCATGTACTTCTTCGTTGTTTATAAATGATTCTTTTTCATTAACTTCTGTTTGACTGACAGTAGGCTCCATGAACTCTTTATGAATAACAGAACTCTCAACCAGTTCTTCTTCCACAGCTTCTGATATCTCTAAAGTACAAGAGACTTCTTCTAATGCCTGAAACAATTCTTGATCATCAATTTTAATCAGTTCTGAAGGTTCAGAACGGGGTCTCTTCTTGTCACTCTGGTGATGTGACAAAGTTCTCTTGCGCTTGTACCAAAGATAACCGAGGTATAAGACGGCTGTCGAAAACGTTAAAATTCTCCCCAGCGATACAGTCCTCACCTTGAACATATCGTATGATATCCACTTTGATACGAGTGTAAAACCTATAAAATAAAAGATTATAAATTTAAAGTTTCCACAGATTATTTGTTTAAGAACATAAATAATTCAACATTAAAATGAGGAAGATATTTTATATTTTTGCTTRTTCCATAATATAGTATGAAAATGTATAAAAACATTATATTGAATTCACAYTTTGTATAAGGCACCTTGTATTAAGRTACAATTATTTAGTTAGTTACCTAGTCAATAAATAATTACATAAATAAAAAATTGTGCTATTAGTTACTAATAATTTTCATTTTCTATGGTTCTAATGTCTGATAGTTGATTATATTAAATTTAAAGTAAATAAGAATAATAGTCAATAAATAACTATAATTAAATTAGGTATTCCAAAATGAATCAAAAATTTAAAAATTTCAATATTTCAATTAATTAAAAAAAAACTATGTAGCAAGGTACATGATTTTTTTATTGATTTTTTTAAATTATATTTGTATTATCACGGAGAAAATAAACGTAAAACACATTGTAAAAAAAAACAATRCCAACTTTCAATAGCTGTCATGTGTTAAGCAACAGATGTTATTAGATTTATACCTCGATTTATACCATGCAGACAAATTTACATCTTTATTTGTATTTGTACATGGGAAATATACAGCAAACAACAAACTAGTCAATGTGACTGCTGACACAATGTTTAAAGAGATGTGTACACGATTTTAAATGCCATGTAAGGCGACAAATATACATGTGTAGAGGAGACCTTTTCACAATACACGATATCATTTTAGGTAATAATATTGTTATCAATACCACAAACAGCAAACAATTTTTATTCCCTCACAACTTCGAGTTTTCACAACGACTGTAGGTACTTGGAAAATGCTAATAAATATTTGTAGAAAATACAAATTTTTAGAGATTCATCTTAGAACTACAACAAAGACTGTTGTCTATTCAAATTTACGAAAATTGTTTAGCGTAAAAATTTGGTTTTCTTAATGATTTAGAAAAGTATAGAGAATTTCGTAATAAAATATTCGTGTATTACTAGCTTATTATAAAATTGAAAATTGAAATAAAACAAACTAACTAATAGGAGTATATTTTAAATATTTCATAATTTAAAAAAGTTCATACTCCGACTGAAAATCAGTCGACACGGTAGCTTTTCGTATTACAGTTTACTAGGTTTAAGTTTAACGAATTACAAAATTAAYACCTGTGTACAGTTTCAGAATAACCCATATATAATTGGGACAAAAAATCATTCCCGAATGTGATAATGAAAATAGGAAAATTAACTTATTAATTATTATACCATTGCGAAGCTTTTGACAGAAATTATCGAATCTTAACGATTATTATATTAATATTTGAAGAGAGACAAAGTATAAAAGAAATAATGACAGAAACGAACAGATCACGTGCATCTAAAGCTTCGTCCAGACCAAAGAAAAATTTTTCGAAAACAAGTGTTTCCGACATGTCGTCGACAATGTTTCTAATTTCCCGTCATAAGCGGCAACATAAATATTTGTCGACGACAGTGTCAGCAATATATGTTCCCGACAAATTTTCCTTGGTCTGGACMGAGCTTTATCGTGTTAAGTTCAATACGATTAAATTTTAAACCAATCTGAAGAATACGATTAGCGAAAAGCCATCCTTTTATCATGATATTTGGTAACATAATTGAAGTCAAACAATGGATGTAGAAAAAGTTGAGATAAAAAAKTAAGTAAATAATTTAAATATATAATTTAATTTGAAAAAAACAATTAGTGAATTTAAATGTTGAAAGTCACACGTGGATTTACCAAATCGATAGTTTGCTAAATATTTTAATATTGTTTTAATTTCTTTATTAAAWAATGTTTCTATACTTATATTTTGTTTTATAGTTATTCATAAAAATAGTAATATAATCGTTCTAAATGGCCAAACAATAAGGTATTAATAGTATTTCTTTTATTCGTTTATTTTGCACTACACGTGTCATTAAATTTAGGCGTTGCCAGTGAGCGTACAGAGTAAAATCTACTCGTTTGATTGCCGGTGGCTGTGTCTGAGAAGAAATCAGACCACATACCTGTTTTTCCATGAACCTATGACGTATTGAATTGTATGAAAAACAGGTTTGGTTAGTTGCCTTGTTCAGTTAATAAATGTATCTAAAATATGTTTTAATACAAGAATGGGTCATGAACGAAAAATCAGTCAATATAAAATTAATATAACACTTCCGACTCGCGTGGTATATTTAAAGATTCAAAACATTGTTACTATATAGGATCCCTTTGTCTACATAAATTAATAACTGAATATTTAAAATTTTAAGTACTAAAATGCTATAAACATAATAACATATAAATAAAGTATAAGAATTAAAATCTAGACATTTTCAAAAACACTCGTAAAGCAAAAAAGTTTTAAAAACAAAGAAAGTTAAAAGAATTAAATAAAAACGAAATATTAGYTATATTTTAATTTTATCTTAATAAAAACAAATAACAAAAGACTACTTTCATAATAATCAAGGTATTGTAAAAATTAAAGAAATCCAATTACAATATTTATTTTAACAATTGTGGAAATTAAGAATTAAGAACATACCTAATATAAAGAAATTTAATTTGGGTTATAAATTTATAGTAACTTTATTACATTAAATGAATAATATTTGAATATCGATAATACATATCAAAAATTCAAACATGTATCGAAATTAAGTTAATTAATATCTAATAATAAATATCTTATCTTACCTACGCAACTAAAATATTATAGTGGCGCGATTGTTAAGGAGATCGTTCGATGTAAGATAATCACAAGTCACGAACGTTATTACTTTATTAGTAACACGTGAAATTCACTATTTTCCGAGATTGATGGAACACATATAACAGGTATAAAAAAAATAGGCTCTAAGAAATGGTAAGAACGTTTTTGATGGCTAAATAATTGATTAAATCATACGAATTRCACCGATATCAATATAATACCATAATCGAATGCATCAACATAATAAGTCATATATTCTAAAATTAACTTAAATTATAACCGATTATTAATAATTAATTAACATCATTCAAATAAATGAACGTTGTAATACAAATCTTAGTCGTTTTTTAGTTGTTATTTCTTAGACTATTTTTTTTTTTGTAAATTCAGTCATTATAATCATAAGTTAAATTTAAATGACATTCAAGGCTTGATACTAAAATAACAGGTCATTGATTTCATTATGATTTGAAAAAAACTACAACTTCGATGTATTCTGATTTTTTCTTAACAAATTATCAATATGTTAGCACATAATATGTATATATTACGTTATACCTGTATTTACAAAATTAAAATGGGATCGTGCAAATCGCTTGTAAAAATACTGAAAATGTATTATTGCAACTTAGCAATATTTAAATTCTTTGATACTTAGGCAATAATTARCATTCCATAAAATTAGAAACATATGATCGAACAAGTATATTTATTACTATACTTTCCCAAAGCACCTCCACATATATACTATAGTGTCTATAGCACATAATATAATAAAACAGAAAGGTAATTAGAGCAATAATAAACGATTAGGTTTTGAAATATGGTCTGACGGCGACGATGGTTAATGTGAATATTTCTATCTGCGATTATATAAGAAGYGTTCTATCGCGCGAGGTACTACGCCAGTTTTAACAATAATCGCTTGGCATTTAATGAAGTGCATTCTGACACGGGAGCGTAAATAATTATTAAAAGAATGTCCAGAACTGGAACTAAATGTAAAAAAAACCAAATTAATATTTATGTAATATAACCCGACCAAGCTATTAACTACGAGAGCATGGTATACTACTATAATTCAAGTGTATTTAATAGTAATATATAAATAATGATTTTTATTTAAAAAAAACCCCAGGTGAACATTGCACTTAATCGCGTCCGGCAACAGGTAAAAACTGTAAATCGCACACACAGCACGATCGTCGGGGTCAGGTTTGTACCACACGCCAACCGGTCTGTTAATAGTAATAATAATAACGTATGCAGTCTTATCGCGACGACAATCCACGTACGCAAGCTAGCAACAATATTTAACTTGGACGTTTTGTCTGTGCGAAATTTCCTACATCGCGATTTACAGATTAGAAGCCTAAGCCCGCATAAGGCGAGAAAAACGACATTTTCCATCATGAGCGTAATGTGGAGTTCGCCGATATATAGTAACAGTAGAATGACGTGTTACCGCGTACCGGCAACACGACCGAATTCGACGTGCGTATAATCGTGGCCGACACACACGATATTGTTAGGTTATGTACGTTCATATCGACACGTTACCGAAACAGACGACCTCGAGCGACGCACACGCGTTTCGCGGGCGTCTACGGACACTGCCACGGCCACTAACGATAATAGTTACTGTCGTGAAAAACGCCGTAACAACCGTCCACACGTGTRTATGGATGAGAGCGTATCTCGTGACAACAGCTACGCGACGGATCATGATCTTAAACGGTGTGAAGACACGGAGATAGCAAGACGTCAGAACGGCAGATTTCGATTCAAAATAATAGGCCGCCGTCACGAACGCATGGACGTGTGGCGGCAACAATAGAAACCACGTTGTGTGCACGACGTAAAACTCGCGCCGTCGCAGCGCAAAACCACGAGAGCACGCTACGAACGCTACTCGCTCGAACTATACAATAACAGTAAATRCTATTATAATATACTACATATCATTTACTACCCTACTACTAACAATTTATAATACTTATATACTACACTACTACTAAAATAATTATTTAGTTTCTATTTATAAAAACGAGTAACCAACCTTGTCCACGTTGTCGCCTTGTGCCATAATACTAATGAAACCGCGTCAAGTACAAATAAAATATATATAWAATATATAAATACTTTCAATCAATTGAGTAGAAAACACCACTTCGATAGGTATAAGAAGCGMGAATGCGTAGTGTGCACGTCGCGATAAACCACTGATGGARCGAATAAAATAATAAAAATTTGAAAAAAAAAACACTAGCCCGACAACTGTTAAAAAGAAATTCGATTGTAAACGAAGAAAAAACGGAAAACTTCCTACTACGTACACACGTCGAGTAGACGACAGCAAGAGTAGCCCAGTCAGCAGTTGCCTCTGGTCCGTACTACACTAAAAATTACCAAAACCACGGCGCAGTATTGCGGCGACGGACGAATTCCGATTTCCAAGCAACGTGGTGGTAGGCAGTGTGCGAAGGTACGATTCGCTGCGTGTGCGTAGAGTGCACGATCGTGAAGCGACGGGGGCCGAGAGGAAATGAAAACACGACGGCGGCGGCGAGAGGAGAAAGCCGACGCCGGTTATGGGAAGGGTACCACAATGAAGTGAGGAGCGCGTGGTCGAGGGGAAGACGTTACCGTACTGGCATAGAGACGTGCACGGTGGGGACGAGCCGGCCGGCCGGCCGGCGGCRCAGTGTTGCCCGACGTCTACGGCCGAATTGAATGTGTCGCGGCGCACGACCACGTGGCGGCGGATAGTGCACGCCGCCCGGCATTTCTTATAATATATAAATATAATATATTCGTCCTTTCTTCACATTTCTGCTACCGTCGTCCAATGACGATCGCCCAGAATATTATACGGATATCGGTTACACTGGCAGACTCCCCCACCACCCCAACTGTTACTGTACTGGATCGAAAAAAACGAGTTAAGATCCGAATTGCGTTTTAAACGAATGCAAATTAATACGCGAAGTTTGAAGTTTTCTTGCAACGTGTTTCATAATATGCGGATTTCAAGTTAAACCTCTATAGTCCATACAAATATAATATTGTGATCATTAATGTTGTAAATAATATATTATGTCGTTGTGTCGTTAAATCACTCTAAGTTGTTTTTATTTAATAGCCAAAATATCGGACGACAATGTGCGTTTAATCTTTAAAAATTAGAGATAAAACAACGACATTCAAAATTATTAAAAAATGTTATGTAATGTTAACTAGAATAAATACTTTTAAAGACAAATTAATACGATATTTTAAATATTTAATTTAGTTCAAGGTATTCCAAAGAGCTCTAAACAAAATAGGTATTCGGTATATTATATATTGTAAAAGAATCATAACTGTTCATTTCCAGTTTAAAGGACATCCTATAACATAACAATATACATAAGGAATAAGGACGATCTTATGTTACAGCTGCTTGTTTATTGTTCAAACATCTGCTCGATGCTTTTACTTCTACATTGTGTTAGAGTTGGACAGATTTCATGTGAAATTTAAAAACCTGTAATAATATATTAATATGAAATTGAACATGAAATAGGAAAATGGCAAAAAATTATTTTCTAGTTTCACAGTTTAAATTATAAGAATATAATCAAATAACATCCAATCTTAAATATTAAAAGATTATTCATATTTAATATTATATTCAAATAATATAAAAAAATAAATAATAACATAGACACATTGTGATAAATGGATTTGAATACGAAAAAATATTTTAAGACCCCTAAGACAACCTAGTATAAATGAAACTAAATATATTATACAATATTAATGATAAATCCAAAATAGTTATGTAAATTATCAGCAAAAGATTACTAAACATATTTTCCATGTATTATACAAACTACCGAATAGTTTCAAATGTACAACCTTTAACCTATAACTTTGATTTAATCTCTACGTGTACCTCATAAATGAATACACAAAATAAAACATACAATGTCATATGCAATTATACAAAGGTAATACTTATTTGTTGAAGTACATACAAATTGCTGTATGGAATAACGTGTATGTTGGTATACTAACTACGATCGAGAAAGGGCGAGTTTTAGATAATATTTAACATCGAATAGAAAAAAAGTGGTAAAAACAAACTATAAAGAATGTTTATAATATTAGTTTTAATTACGGGTCAATAATAATACTAAAAAACAAACATTTTAATGTTAATTTTTAAAAAGTGATAAAATTTGTGTAAAAATTGACGAATGGTCGATAGACAAGCGCTTCTGTATTTAAAACAACTTTAGTTAAAATTCATATTATATCGTGAAATTTTATATATAYCTTTTAATTTATGTAATCGTAATCTCAAACTTAATTAAATGTTGAAATTAATTGGGTTTCCTTGACCTTCGAAAAATCTCAAGTATTAGTAATTCCTTTTTTATTGTACTAAAATATGTATTTAATTTAAATTAATTTAAATTTCGTTTAATCCCATTTAAATATTATGTGTGAATTTAATAATAGTTAATAAATAGGTTTGATACGAATTTTTCAGTTATAATGAATAAATTTTTTTTAGGTTTTTATTAGAAACATACAATTTTTGCCCTAGGTCACACAACATGAATATGAATGCAACAAGAAACTAATAAGTAATAACACATACAAAAAGAAAAGGTTAAAACAAGAACAGAACGCATTTTTTTAATCTAGAATATAGATTTAAATTTGAAGCATTTAATCAAAAATAAAAACTTATCCAAATATATCAACACATTAATTACATAACTAAACAAAATTAAAACAAACAATGCAAAATGGTTTTCAATACAAGCTAGTTAGTAAACTAGTATACGACCATAAAAATAAAAAGAACGTGCATACAAGTGCATATAATACAATTGATTATAAAGTTTGAAAATTAGAATTCTAATTTTAGTTCAAAACAATGGACTTTTAAATAATACGATTTAGGCAACTTTACGACCATGTAATAAATCAACTGCAATTGTGTGTGTAATTTACTGTATTATCAAATAATATTAAAATATAAATAAACATAAATAAACAATCAAACATTTATGATACATCAAAGCAATAAAATCCACAATCTACTTACTGCAGAGTTGAAATTTTAAACGCTTAATTAAGGATTGTGTAAATTGTCAACCACTCGGTTCCGCTCTTTTAGATATGAGTACCTAATAAAAATTCAAGAATTAAAATGTGTATGATCTATTTTATTAATAATCTTTAAATATATTATAGGATAATGTACCGATGTTATATTAACGTATATTTTTAGTGTTAAATATTTAAAACAGATTTGTATACGAAAATCACACTGTTTAATAATAATAATGTATTCTAGTCATCGGATAAATTAAATAAAGACTAATCGAATAATTTTTAATTCACTGTTCTCTGATTGAACCTTACGAACAGGTTTGTTATTTTAAATTAATTTACTACATATATTTAAGTAAAATTCATTTTGTTTTTGATAAGCATATAAATCAAAAATTATAGGAATAAATATTTATTCTTGCAGTATAAAAACTACTGTTTTATACGATATCGTAATTTTGTATTAGGATAATAGTATTGTACTTACACAAAAATAGTTTGATGATGTGTTTGTTGGGGTTAACTCAAAGAACCTATGATAGGTATAATTATAGCTTTAAATCTCAGTTCCCACTGCCGAGTGGTTTATTCGAATTTTATTAATTTCACAAAAGATACATTTAGTATGTACAATCAGGAAGATCAAAATTCGACACAATTTATACAGTTTAAAATAACCATACAAAATATTATATCCTCTGTTCATAAAATTCAAGGTTAGGACCACACCACTACATAGAACCCCATAATCCATTATGTAATTTATATGATCACCAGAAGCATAAATGAAAATATATAGGATTGAGGTATAATATTATATGAATACAGGTAGTATTTCTACAGAAACACCTGTTAAAACACCTGGTTAGGTAAAACCTTTATATCTTTACACGCACTCCCCGTACATTTCTCGCATTATATTATTAGAATTCTGAAAATTAAAAATATCTGTAAATATCGACCAGGACTGAAATACTATATCATTTATAAAAATGATAACTAGAATTTAAATAAAGCGGAAAAGTGGGTAACTCTGCTGTACATTAGATGTTTAGAGAGTCAGTGTGGCAATGGATGTGTTAAATTTTAATTGAATGATATTAAATCATTGTATAATATGATAAACGATTCTAAGTGAAAATGATCTGCCAGCATACAAGATAAATAATCCATTTACTACTTTAACTTTACCAGGTATATTTGATAATATTTTAGTGACTAAAGTAACTTATTTTACTATTTTGCATTAAAATATTAGATTCGTTTTTGCCAAAAAAAATTATATTAGATAATGTCATTGTGTGGATAGAATATAACAATGTACTGTTATAAAAGCTCAAGTAACCAAGAATAATATTTTTAAATAAAATAACTAAAATCTTCATTCTTAGTTTTAATATGAAATATATAATTATACTGAATGCTTGATAATTTTTGACTACAAAATAGTTCAACAATTTTGATAAATTTTAACTCAGTATTTTGACGAAACAAAAAAAAATGCTTATATTCATACAAGAAAACTCCAAACGAGTAGGATGTATGAAATTTTAATAAAATCGTGTAATTATTTTTTAAGGCTTAGATATTAATAGACATAACTATATGGTATAGAATAATGTAATATACAAAAACTAGGATATTTGCAGCCCTTTTCGTGTATATAAAGAATTTTGAGATACATTAAAATTAATAAAAGAAATATTATAAAATCACTTGATACAGGGCTGTAGCTATATGGGGAAAGTTTAAGGGTTCAACCCCCCCCCTTAACATAGAAAAAAAATGTAAAAATGCCTAGTATATTCTAAAATTTAAAATTCAATTTTTAAATCTTTTTTTTAACTGAATAAAAACATAACATAATATTATAGTAAATTTATAGTATAATACCCAAGGTGTATTCATAATACCTGTAGTATATTTTTATAATTGTTAAGAATTTAAATATTAAAATAAAATAAAGATAAATTAATTCTAATCATTGAATGCATTTTACTATCCGGTTACCAGGAAATTCCTGTTAGAGGCAGTATGAAAGAGGTATAAAACCTCTCCATAGAAAATTCCTAGTTACGGCCCTGATATTACTTATTAGATATCATTCTTTTATCTGATAGTAATGAATAATAAAAAAGAAAATATCTCATACCAATTTTGATTTATACTATTTTGGCAAAGCATACTTTAGACATGAATTATAAGTATGTAAAGGTTTTATTAAGATACAATGTTATTGTTGACTTATAAGTTATACCTACCGTATGAGGTTAGGTACTCATACCTTCGTATGAGGATATTTATAAGTATTAGATTTGTTTTAGAATAGTAATGTATAATCCATCTTTCAAATTGTATGTTACTTAATACTAAACCAGTTTAATTGACATATAGCAATATAAAGTAGCATATTTTTTATGAACTCCAAAATATTGTTTCAGGCAAAGTCTTGGAACTGTAGATAACATTAAGAAGTATTTTGTACGACATATAGAAATAAAAACCTTAACAATAACATAGGTACAAAATATAGTTAACTGTCAACATATATGAATTATTATACTAATATTTGAATACAAGGTAGAAAATGTAGACAGAAATGTAGTCGAGAAACG